TTCAAATTGTTTAAAGTGCTGACAAAACTGGGCAGCCTCTTTTGTTTTATCCTTTACTTACACGTAGACCTTTGGACAAACGACGTACACAAATCTGTTAGATAAGATTTTATTCAGAGGATTTGATGATCAGATTTGGCATTAGGCACCAAGATGGCTGTAGTTAGGCAGTTAGTGGAGGTAACCTTAAATTCATTCAGTTACAGTAGTGAGATTTTTACCAAATGTAACAACCATAAAATGGTTCCAACACAGAAGATGGCCATTCAACATATCGCGTCCATGTCAGTTCTCCATGAGAACAACTCACCCAGTCCCAATCCCCCACCTTCCTCTCCAGCCTTCTTCTATTCAGATAATTTCTTAATTCTCTTTGTAAAGCCACAAATCAATCTGCCTCCACCACTCTGCATGCAGATCCTGTTCACCTGCTGTGAAAAAAGACTTTTCCTCATAATTCATTTGCCAATCACTCTGGTTTCCATTCCTTCACAACAGGAGCCTATCTGCCTATCTGTTCCATTCAGACCCCGCGTGACTTTGAAACTTTCTATCTTTTTAAGTCATCTCTTCTCCAGTGAGATCAGTCTCCAATCTACCCACATAAATAAAGATCCCCATTCCTGGAATAATTCTTGTTTTAGACATCAAATCCCCACAGTGTGGAAGCAGGCCATTCAGCCCATCGAGTCCACACTGACCATCCAAAGAGCATTCCACACAGACTCACCCCATCCCTCTAACGCTGCATTTACTTTGGCTAATCCACCTAACCCACACATCCCTGGACACTGTGGGCATTTTAGTACGGCTGATCCACCTAACCTGCACATCTTTGGGCTGTGGGAGGAAACCAGAGCACCCGGAGGAAACCCACACAGTCACAGGTAGAATATACAAATTCCACGCAGACAGTCACCCAAACCTGAAATCGAATCCGGGTTCCTGGCACTGTGTGGCAGCGCTACAAACCACGGAGCCACTACTTATGCATCACCTCTATCTCAAATGCCTTCTCATCTTTCCTGTAGTATGGTGCCTGGAACTGGTCATAGTAATCTAGTTGAAACTGAGTCAGTGATCTGAATAGGTTTATCATAATTTACGTAATATTGTACTCTGTGTCCCTTTTTATAAAGCTGAAGGTCCCAAACGCTTTGTTCATTAATTTCTCAAGTAATTCGTCAAGAAGTTTCCATCTTTAATGATTTTTGCTCTTGTACTCCCAGGTCCCTCTTTTCCTGCATCCCCTTTAGAATTGCACCTATAGTTTATATTGCTTCTTCTCATTCTTCTTACAAAAATGAATCACTTTGTACCTATTTCCATTAAATTTCATGTGCCGCTTGCCTGCTCTCTTATCCTCTTGAAGTGTATTGCTAATTGCCTCACAATATGTCCAAGCTTTGTATTGATTCACAAATTTTGAAAATGCCTCCTGTACACCCAAGTCTTGGTCATTTTTATAAGATCAAGAAAACCAGGGGGACTATCACCAACCCCTGACGATCACCAATTTATACCTTTTCATCATTACTCTCTGTTGCCTGTCACTCAGCCAATTTTGTATCCATGCTGGCACTGTCCATTTTGGTTACAAACATATGAATTAGGGGCAATGTAGGCCAGTCAGCCCTTCAAGCCTGCTCCACCATTGAATAAAGCCATGATTGTAACCTCAAATCCAAATTTCCATCTACCTCGAAAACTTTTCATCCTTTTGCTTAACAAAAAAGAAAATAATTAAGTTATCGACTAGGAAGAATTTCTTTTATCATAGCTCCTTAGGATAAATTAGCAAAACATGCACCAAATATGGATTCTCTGCAGATTTTGAAAAGCAATTTCGATGAATTATTGAGGATGGGACTTACCATCCATTATTAAAAATGGGTAAAGGATAAATGTAATTATTGGTGCTGTGAATCACTCTCTGGAGCTTAATTGCTTACAGATTGGAGAAGTACTTATTTTCCTAAATTGATCTAAGGTTCTTTATTTTGATTTTAGTTTTGCCTCTCCAAGGAGTTACGTGACTGGGCCAATCAACAATGTAGACTCTATGTATCGGAATGTCTTTTCTTGTGTTTCTTTTAGTCATAATTCAATAATTCACAGTAAGCACCTTCTTGGTTGAGCTTTCAGACAGAGATGTAGGTCTTGAGAAGGATGGCTTGTTATGGAAAGCTAAAGCCATGGGCAAATAGCATCTCAAGTATAATTTTACCATTTGCCCCTTGACCACTCCTTTGAAAAACACCTTATTATGAGAGATACTTGGAGACATGGTTTGGCACTCTCTGAATGCAATTGCTCCTGTTAATTTTCAATTAAGCCAGAAAATGTTACCATTGAAGATTTCAATTGTTGTTGGTTAAGTTGTTAAAAACATCTATTCTGATTGATTTTCTCTTTTAATCTGGTAATAAATTAAATTACTTGAATATTCAAACTTATAACATAGTGAAATGCCATTGATTTTGAGCATTTGCCCCTGAATTTTAAAATTGGTTCTCCAAAGTTTCATTTTGCAGATTAAAGATTATTGCCCAATTATGGAGACACTTCCAGTAGGATATCACTGAATAATCAAGGAAGTGGGCTCATAGCAATTCTGGAAGACCTTTACAGCTTGTCTGAATTTTGCTGTTGTGTATGTATGTAATTAGTGGGGCTATCCAAATGGACAGGGAAGATTGAGCCACCTACTGTGCAGTACGAGAGCTACAAGACCAAATTTAATATTTTCTCTGTCACATGGACTGTCCTATCAATATTCCCATTTTGGAAATGTAACCATACTCCCAGCTGATCCTTAAAACTTAATTCTTTGACAAAGCTTTTGGTCACCTGGTCTACAATCTCCTCGATGTCAGATTTTGTTTGATTACACTCCTATGAAGCATTTGTGTAGTATAACCATATTAAAACATAAGTGCAAATTGTTAGTATATCAATAAAAAATGCACGTTTCATGTTTCTAACGAGCAATCTATTTTTTGCTGTCAATTAAACTTACAAGAGCTAATAATTATGAGATAGGCAACATTTCTTTTTTTTTGTTATTCTTTCAAATAATGTAGCATTGCTAGCTAGGCCAGCATTTATTGATCTCCTGCCCATTTATAGCTGTCCTTGAGAAGGTCTTGGGAATCCAACTTCTTGAACCACTTCAGTCCATTTGATGTCAGTAGATCTATTATGATGTTTAGAAGGTGTTCCAGAGTTTTGACCCACCAACAGTGAAGAATAGGTAGTTTAGTTTCAAATCAGGATGTTATGTGACTTTGCAGGGAGCTTGCAGCTGATGGATTTCCTATGCATCTGCTGCCCTTAGCCTCTGGGTGGTAAAGTTGCAGGTTTGGAAAGTGCTGTTGAAGGAGCCTTGGCAAGCTTCTATGGTGCATCTTGTAACTGGACACAGTAGTGTCACTATGTGGCAATGTTGGAGGGAGTGATATTTAAGATGCTGGATATGGTGCCAGACAAGCAGACTGCTTTTGTCCCGGATGATGTCGAGCTTCTTGAGAATTTTTGAAGCTGCACTTAAACAGTCAAATGACGATTATTCCATCACAATCCAGACTTGTGCCTTGTAGATGGTGGACAGGCTTCAGAAAGTTACTTGCTATAGAATTCCTAGCCTCTAATTTTAATCAGATTCATAGAATAGAGTCATAGAATCCCTACATTGTGAAAATAGGCCATTCAGCCCATCAGGTCTGCACCAACCTTCCAAAGAGTATCCCACCCTATCCCAGTAACCCTGCGTTTCCCATGGCTAATCCACCTAGCCTGCACATCCCTGGACACTATGGGACAATTTATTATGGCCAATCTATCTAACCTGCACATCTTGGTCCAATTTATGACATAAACATCTCTTATTGATGGTTTATGAGGCAAATGCACAATCCAGTGTGGAGCTAAGCCATGCAGAAACTAGGAAAGGTAGGTTTGATCACTGGCTTTGTATAGCTGATTTCTTGGCAGGGCAGAAGCATGCTGATAATAATTGATCTCCCTTGACGGTGGAGAAGAACTGTTGGCCAAAGACTACAGTTCTGGTTGCAGTATTTACTGGAATAGAGTGTCAATTGATTGCAAATGAATAGAGGATCAAGGTAGGTTGTGATCTCCCTACATTCCAATGGCTCATTGACTGTCACCATCTCAACTTACGTGTCTCTGGAAGGCTTAAGAAGTAAAGGTGGAGAACATTATGTAATGCAGGAATCATCCTGTGCATCATTAATCTTAGATAGAAATCTTAAAACTTCAAAATCAGAGAATGCATGATCAGAATTAAAATTGAGAATGCATAAAGCAAAGACAAAGACTTTGAGTTTTTTTTGGGATTACTTGTGACCTCTGGGCATTCTAAAGCACTTTGCAGTGAATGGTATATTTTAGGTTTGGAAGCAGTCAGAACCTGACAATGCCTGTTCACTGTGTAACCTACAGAGAATGGAGATGGATTGAATGTGGAGATTGAAGGGCTTGTGCAAACACCACAGAAAGAAATCTCGTTATTGCAAACTGCTGACCACCAAAAAAAACTTCCTTGTTATTGATTTATCTGATTCATGTTTTTTGAACTTTTATTGTTGACAATGGTAGAGTTACTACCAAGATCAGAAGAGAAATTACTAACGAAGTTATAAGCTACTTTGCTGAACACAACGTTAGTCTTTCACATTGGCAATTAAAACAAAAATTAGGTTTTAGTTACTTCAAAGATGAAAAGAAAATCATAATGAAACAATTGCACTGAATTGCTTGATTCAAAGACACAGACAATTCACAAGTTATTGTCCAATTTTAAAGAGTATTTGATGAATCAAAAAATCAGATACCAAAGGAATTTTCAGAGCATGTATTTGTATATAACTGATATGACAAAGAGAGATTCAGGCAATGGGCCGAGGAGACATAAAAGCAAGAACAGAGGAAAATAATCATTGCGTTGGACTCCTCAACCATTTTTGAACGTGCAGAGAATGGATGCTGGGATGGACCTGCTCCACAGCTCCGGGGTAGAGCTGGTGCAGTATCTACAGATGAATTACAAGGACTCCCAGAGCTGGTTCACCTTTATCTCTTTGGCTGCTGATCTGAGAAACACTTTCTTCGTTTTCTTTCCGATCTGGTTCCATCTGTGTGAAGCGGTGGGTGTCAAACTCATCTGGGTGGCAGTCATTGGAGACTGGCTCAACCTCATCTTCAAATGGTAAGTATTTACTGACTAGCCCAACCAAATGTCTTAGGAGGAATCTTAAGCTTTCACTGTCAAGGGTAGGATTGGGGTGCAGTGTGCATGGATTGACACATCTGATGATGCTGACTGCCTTAAATATTCATAGAATCCCTACAATGCAGAAAGAGGCCATTCCACCCATCCAGTCTGTACCAACCCTCTGAAGAGATCCGATCCAGACTTATAACCCCACCCCGACCCATCCCAGTAACCCCGCATGGAGCTTTTACCATGACTAACAACCTAACCTGCACAACCCTGGATACTATGGGGCAATTATTTTGTCCCTATAAGATTGCCTGTCAGCAAGAAGTTCAAGTTACAGGTTAAAATGCCAATCATTTCTTTCCTTGTTGCAGACTTATCCATTGCTAGTTTAGAATAAAGTCTAGATTCCCACATCAATTTATTCATGAAACTTTCCTTAGCTTCAATTTGTGTCTCTGTCCCATTTTCCTGCCACATATGGCTCCATTACCCGTCAATATGTGTCAACACTTCCTATAATGTTTGCATATTTACTTATCCTTTTATGCAGATAATTTTAGGTTTCCTGGACCCTGATTGGCATAGATTAAAAGGTTATTGTAACGTGCTAAGTTTTTATTGTATACTTTGCTAAACTCACGGAATACAGATAGCAGTGAGGATCTATGAGATTGAAATAACAGTCCCTAGCCATCTACCTCTATGTTGGAGCTCATATATAATAATGCAAAGATAGAGCGGTCACACCTTTGACTCTTGACCTCTGTAAAACTGTGTAGTCCGTATGTACTGACAGTTACAATTCCACATGTGAGCGTGAGTGGCTATGAATTTTGTGAAAAGTCAACGAAAATCCACACTGTGCAACCATGCCAGGAGTTCATAGTGCAAGTCCCATGAGTTAGCAAAGTTTAATTCTCAAATAAAGTGGGATGTTCAAGTTCATGAGATGTTTCAGCCTGGAAGAGGAAGGTTGTCCATTTTCACTTGTATCGCTGGGCGTTAACAGGACAGTGTAGGCCTCAGGATGGGATCATCCCAATCATGTGGTGAGTGCCATTTTGAAAGGAGTCGTGCACATGAGATGAAATTTCTGAAGCACTTGACCATTTCATATAGCAGGCCTCTTTCAAAGTGCAAATTGACATCCCACGATGCTGATTGCCTCCTTAGTTTGAAAAAGGGCAGAGTGTGTTTCAGCCATCACAACAGCAGGGAGAGAGTGTGGAGAGTTTGATATTAGTTTTGTAGCACGAGGAGTTAGCTGAATGCTACTCTGTGTCCCCCAAAGGCCCTTTCCCCACTTTAAATTGGCTTTTCTAGAGCAGCTTCTTTTCTGGAAGATGCTTTATAGCATTATACTGAACAGCACCTACTTGAAAGTGTACACATGTGGCTGCACAATATGAAAAGCTCAGGTTTTTCATAAAATACCCTGTTGGTACTCTGCCTGTACTCATACATGAGGCACAACTCCTTAGACAACAATGAAAGCAAATCCCAGGGTGAGAATCAACTTTAGATATAAAATATTCTTCTGTATGCACAGCGTCATAGAGTGGTGTCTCCTCAAAGAACTTTAAATATATACAAAACTGGAGAGTATTCAGCCCATTGTCTTTTGCCAAACATTTGAAACAGTTACCTACAGTTCCAGTCCTGTGTTATTTCCCCTTTGTCCAATAACTGATTTGTTTTCATCTATGCATATAATTCTCATTGTAAAGTCATTATGAATTATCTTTCACCACCCTTTCAGACAGTGTTTCACAGATTGTAACAACTTGCTCTGTAAAATGTATCCCTCCTCAACCCATATCTGAAAATGTGTCTTCTTTTTTCAGGATATTATTTGGCCAGAGACCTTACTGGTGGGTTCATGAAACGTCCTACTACAGCAACTCATCTTTTCCTGTGTTACAACAATACCCTATCACCTGTGAAACAGGGCCAGGTATTGAGAGATCAGCACACTTTCAAATTATAGAGAGTGTAGGTCTTAATAAACCAAAGATTGGATTTCTTTCAGTGTTTCTATTGACCCAAACTTTGTCCGTTTCAGGAAGCCCGTCAGGTCACGCTATGGGATCAGCTGGGGTTTGGTATGTGATGGTGACAGCATTTCTGACCAGCACACTTCAGAATAAGCAGCATTGCGTTCAGAACTGGTGAGTCACACATCATGGATCTATTAGTTTTGAAGTTTGCAACCTTAGGCTTGGGTTTGAAATAGTTGCTTTATGTGTGAATATAATTGACAGAATTTGAATGGGAGCAGAGATCAACGTGTATTATTTGGCTTAATCAATGTTACCTCTGGTAATAAGTGCATGATTCCCCAAGTGGACCCTGTCCTAAACTAAGGATCACTCACGTGGAAATTGGCTGCTGGGATTTAATTGAGGCTCTGGTGTTACAACACACTGGGCCTCATTTTGCATAGTGGGTGTGAGTTTCTAAATTCTCACCATTCCTCATCCACCTAAACCTGGATCAAAGTTAAAACTGGACCTAGAGATTTAGTTAAATATTGGTATTTGGTGTTGCTTTGCACTGAGGCCTCTCTTATGTTCTAGGTGTCTCCGTTCAGTGCTGTGGACGGTATTCTGGGTGATACAGTTCTGTGTCTGTGCGTCTAGAGTGTTTGTGGCCGCTCACTTCCCACATCAGGTCTGTCTGGGAGTCATTTCAGGTCAGTGGATACATTACTCACAGGTCACAGTTAGAATGGATCTTTGATATGTTCAACTGTCATGGTATTAGAAATTCATTTGATATACTGGAATATAGATAATGCAAAGAGTACCATCTCGTGTACAATCTATAGCTGTTAGTTTCAGTCTCTATTAAATAAAGGCATTTCCAAATATTTTCATGATTGAATTTAATGGATAATACAGGTCGCCTGCACACTCCTACACTGGCTTCCTTTGGGCTACTATGAGTGTGTTTGGGACCCCTCCCAAGGATTGCAACACCCAGATCTATTATTTGCTATTGTCTGAAAATGCTTCTGTTTTACACCCACACCGTCCACCGGTCAGCTGTTGTGAGGCAGCTGTCAACTGCAGTAGACCAGCAGCACTGAGAGTCAAATCTGCCCCTGCCATTCACTCATCGATAACAAGGTGTAGAGCTGGATGAACACAGCAGGCC